GTCACTAATATGAAGAGCAGCTTCTGGTTGTAAAAGTTTAAAAATGCTATATTTTCATTTGTACTTTATCACATTTATTTACAGGTTTTTTGTATTTGAAACATTTAAACATTTTAAATTTATTTATTTTATGCCCACTATTTTATTTATGTAATTGTCTATTTTTGTTATTTTTTATGTTAAAAAATGTTATTTTTGTGTCAATAAGCCTGAGTGGTCTGTTGACTGACCTTTGTATTTGTTAATAATAGTTATGGGCAGGTTACAATATAAAAATGTTTGTTATAATCATGTCTTCTGATTACTTGACAGGAGTTTTACTTTTAAACTGTAAGTGTATTTAATTTAGTTATAATGTAAATACAATAAAAAATTAAACAAAGATTTATAATAATTATCATTTTGATCCATACATTGGTAATGTGTGACTGGACCTCGTGTCTCTTTATGTTCAATAAATTGGGCCCCGAGGTCTAAAAGTTAAGAAGCCCTGGTTTAAAAGACGCCACGCCTCAGTTTTGTTCAGGATTTTGAATCAACTCACCAAGAATGCCCATGTCATATCTGCCGTTCCTCTTGGCTTCCTGAATCACTGCTGCCAGAGTGTCAGAGAAGTACTGAAACAAGGCATTTTGCTGGTGGACCTCCATGCCCAAAATACGGTTTAGGAACTTCCCTATGTTGTTGTAGTCTGCAATGGTACAATTATGTTGACTGAACATTTCCACACCAGTTGTACATGACATGTTCAGTCCTAAAAGGTGGTTCTGATGGGTCAACTCACCTTTGTCTAGAGTCAATACACAGGATCTGTCCTCCACATTAATGAGGCCCACACCTATCAACCCACTCTGAATATCTGTAGAACAAACATGTTCAACAAAATCCTGCTTTAATAACAGTAAACACACCAAAAACCTATGTGGAGCACAAAGAAAACTTTCAGAATAAAAGATTAAACTTGTTCGTGTTTGGTGAAAAACATGCATCGTACCTTTGAAAAAATCTCCTTTAAAGTCAGAAGGTGAAGACACTAATGGAGAGTCGAGCTTTACAATAGATTTCATCACTATTTCCAGAGCATTTCTGCCATACTGCAACAAAAAAGAAAGAATGAGACAGTAGAAAACAAAGAAAACATACCTTCTCTTTCACACAAAGGATGGACATGCATACTTTGTTGTCAAAATTGAACCTGCTGAGATCTCGAGTTTCTGTTGCTCGTCTGTCTCCATGAGTAAGAGCCCCCTGTAGGGAATAACACATAAGGTCAGGGTTTAGAAGAGAATTTTATTTATTTTAATTTTTTACATTTCTTCCCCACCAGAATAGGTGTCATCCTAAATATTTGAATAATACCTACCAGACTTTCTAGTCTTTTGGCGACAATAGATGCAAATCTTTGTTCTCCTGCAAGCTCCGATATGAGGAAAACATATTCTGGAGCTGTGACCTGGTTTGACCGATGTGTTCGCCCTAAACAAGAACAATCACTTTAGTCCACATTACAATAGTGTTAGACAGCCTTGGATTTAAGGGAAAAAAGGTATTCCAGGTAGGATCCACCGTGAGGAGACCCAGAGAAGACCAGGACAGGATTCCCACACTGGCCGGGGAACACCTCAGGATTCCCCAGAGAAGCTGGTCCTCTCTGCTGCTCCTGTCTCATACACCATGGACAACCAGAAGATAACGGACAGAAGTGTAGCGTACCGAACGACTGAAGCAGGCATTTGATTTGAGTGGATTTTAACTAAAGAAAGACACTGTGCTGTGAAACTTTTACTGAACAGACTATCTGCAGAGGACGGACCTGCAAAAGGAAAGGTGGGCTAAGCTTTGTGGATTAGACACTTTATCATTTAAGTTTGTGTCAATACAGCAGATTTTCAAATGTTTTTGATTTGTGCTGATTGGTGACGTAAAACTAAAGTTATTAAGTAATTCATGCCACTTTTTTCTCTGATAAATGTCCACATTTAAAGGGCACCTATTATACAAAATTCACTTTTTTCATGTTGTTAAACTCACCTTTGGGTCTGTACTGCTTCTAGAAGCAGTCCAAACACCAAAAAAATGCACCCAGCCATTATTTAGCAATAATTACATGTAAGTTTAGGTATCTACCATCTTACCATCTACCAATTTTAGGTATCAGGTATCTAACTTCTACCATGTGGAAACTTGTACGTCTACTGTTGGGAGGGCAGAGTTAATGTAAAAACATGGTTGGGAGGGCAGAGTTAATGTAAAAACATGGTTGGGAGGGGAGAACAGGCAGAACTGAAAAGGTGAAATTTCATTATGAGATTCTTTGTGAATTAAATCAAACCAACATGTGTTGTAGAGCCCACAGATGGATCCTAACTTGTTCTAGGACCCACATATTAGGTCACCTTTAAGTCTCCAACAACCTGGGGCCTTGTTTTATGGCCTGAAATGTTTTTAAATGTTTTTAAGTCAATTACTGAATGAGCAATTATCTTTCAGTTGGTTATAGGGCTGCCACAAACGATTATTTTTATAATCGATTAATCACTGATTATTTATTATATTAGTCGACTAATCAGATCATACGTTAATTGAATAAAAAACAGAGCTTATCGCACCAGAATGCAGCTGCTATTATATAACCATGGTTAGATTTTAGCTATATGCTAACTAAAAATAATAGCTGTGGAAGGTAAGTTCTGCTCTGCAGATATTACACAGGTTTCTCTTTCATTTTCTTAAAATGATCCCACACTTTGAGCTCTGTTGTCAGGTAGCCATGATACCAGAGCCTGTCTGTATAATGTCTTGTGACGTCCACGGCCTACCCCAGTTACCACTACTGTGCATGTGTGTCAAGGACAGAAAGGTAGACGTGGCAGTGGAAGGTGTCAAAGCAGTTTGGAGAGAAAAACAAAGAACAAAAAAAAAGAAAACGACTAATCGATTATTAAATTAGTCATCACTTATTTTAATAATCGATTAGTCGTCGATTAATCGACTCATCGTTGCAGCCCTAGTTGGCAACAAGTTATTTAACCCCAACTGGTAATTTAGGCTGTTCCAGAGTGATGGGTGCATCAGGGTAAGAAGAGAGGCAGGTGAAGTGATGCACACATCACTGTACAAGTCTGTGAGGGCAGTGCTATGACCCGAGGTCTCTGCAGGTGGTCAGGTCTAGGTTCAGCAACAGTATGAGCTCAAAGAATGAGGTCAGCAGACTACCTGAATATACTGAATGACCTGGTTATTCCATCTACGGACTGTTTCTTCCCTGGTGGCATATTCCAAAATGACAATGCCAGAATTCATCAGGCTTTTATTGTGAAAGGGTGGTTCAGGGAGCATGAGACATAATTTTCACACATGGATTGGCTCCACAGAGTCTAGACCTTAACCCCATTGAGAATCTTTGAGATGTGCTGGAGAAGGTCAGACTCTACCAACATCAATGCAAGATCTTGGTGAAAAATGACTACAACACTAGATGTTGCATCAAAGCTAAAGGCGGTCCAATGAAATATTAGTTGTGATCTTTTTTTGGCCTGAAAGTGTTTATTATCATCACAATATCAGTGTGTGCAATATTCTTATCGCAAAGGACTGCTTGGCATGCAATACTTGCTGTTTAATTGTTATTTGAAGAGATTAAAAGTTGTATTTTTATGCTACTGCAATTTTTAGAAAGAAGGACGGTCTCACAGCAGCAAAAGCTCATACCAGACATAAATAACATTGACAAAAACACTAAAGGTCACAGTGTAGCAAGTACAGATTAGAAAGGGAAAAATAAAAAAATAAGACATTGCACCCGATATCATCATCTGAATATTTACAAATACCGCCATGACAAGATTTTCTAATATCAAGCAGCCCTAATATTCAATGCTTTTATTTTACAACACTCAATAAGCCCACTTAATTTTTATTTGCATTGCATTATCTGAATGTCAGGTTATTTTATTTTTACTATTATGCAAAAGGCAGGCAGAAAGGGTTGGATTTTTTCATGACAGTCTGAACGCGACTATTACGACTACACAGCAAATTGCAACTCTGGAAGATGTCAGCTGACCACCGAAATGTATTCAGTTATTCTTTTTGACAACCTAAGTATGTCCTAAAAATTTCATAAAAATTGTTCATAAATGTTTGAGTAATCTTGTGCACGGACCGACAGACAAGCAAGAATGATAAAGATGTTAAAACACAATGATTTAGTTCATTCAAACATACAAACTATAGTCGATTGTCAGACTGATTGTACATAACTGAATAATTTCACCTTCTGTCATCTACTACTAATACTGTGTATTAGATTGACAGCACACTAACCATGTTTCCATCAAGGCTTTTTGATGTGCATTTAGAAGTGTCGCATTAAAAATGCGAAAAAAAAAGTGGGATGGAAACAGCAAAATTCGAAAAAAAAATCCTCAATTCGCTAAAAAGTTTTTACGTTCGCTTGAGGTGGTATTTAGATGATTCGCAAAGTAGTTAATGCACAATACAGGAGATGGAAACACGTTTGCTGAATAAATTCTGACGTAGCGCATATTTACCTCACATGACGTTCAGCTGTTTCTGCTTTCCTGCCTCGTCACGGCGTAGTTTCACGTGCCTTTCTGTTGCGTAGTTTAACATTGCGTTTATTTCCCTACATCTCCTGGCAGCGTTAAACATAGCCTGTACTAGCTGAATAGGTAGAATAATTACAACTTGCCCAAAAGCAAGGCATTCACCAAAAAAATTGCTCCATTGTCTCGAGATGATTAGCCTCCGCTAGTTAGCAAGTTCCACTTCCTGTTTACTACCGCAAAGCTTGTCGCCGACGTCTGACATAATCACGCATTGCGTAGCCTCGTCTGATGTAATCACGCATTGTATAGCCTCGTCTGACG